AACTTTTCAGCTCTGCTATTGATGCATATGTGTCTGTTGGGGTTAACACATGACTACTAAGCCATTGTCTAGCAATGAACATTTGTATGGAGCCATTCCGTAGCAACAGCTTTCTCTGCTGGCTTCACAATTCTGGCTTTCAGCAGATGTGATACAATAAGTTTAATTAAAATGGAAGTTACCTACGCATATTAATATCGGCTAACTAATGTGGCAAGCCTAATTCCATTTTCTTTTTTTATTTCTAGCTATATGATAATCTTCAAGCACACTTCTTTCACAACTCGGGAGCAATGCAACGACCACCATGGTGGAATGAAATTGTGCCAAAACCTTTATCTAAACTGTAGATGCTGCAAGTGCAATGAATATACAGAGGGGCCCAAGAAACATGCAAAATATGTGCTTAAATAATTTGTTGGTAATCCAAATTTGATACACACAGAAAGGGATGGCTGCAACACATGTTGAACTGGAATAAGTGTTAAAAGTGCCCACCATTAGCTGGTAGACACGAGTTCAATGTTTCAATTTCTTCCCGTAACGTCTCCAGTGTCAGTGGCTTTCTACAATATACCACATCCTTCAGGGACTCCCACAAGTAGAAGTCAATGAGGGTTAAGTCAGATGAGCATGGGGGATATTCAACACTACCTCTTCCCATCCATTGACCTGGTTCATTGAGGTAGGTTATGACATCTCGGTAGTAGCGTGGTGATGCTCCATCTTGTTGAAAGTAAAATGGCTTATTTCCACAGAACTGATGAAGGGCAAGTAAAATAAATGTCTGTAACACTAACTTCGCTGACAGGTGGCGGTTGCTCAGTTGGTATAGTTCACTTGAGGACTAAAACCACAGAGTTCTTTTTTATAGGCATGTTGAGGTACATAGGAGTATTAACTGTTCCTTCAAAAAAGAGTGGTCCAGTTAAACCCCTGTATGACAGTTCACACCAGACAGTGAGTCCTGGTAAATTGACTGCCCTGTCCACATGAATGTGTGGATTTTCTGGAGCCCAGTACACACAATTAAGGCGATTCACTGTACCATTCAGTTTAAATGTTGCCTCATCAAACCAAACATTTTTGCTCACAAAGTCCACATTCTTGTATACCTTTTGTTGAAACTACTAACAAACCTACACTTTTCAATCAGGATTGTCTTCATTCATGTCATGTAACAATTCAGGGATGCAAACTTTCCATTTAGCGTGTTTTAGAATGTGTTATACCCCTGACATGCTAACGCCTGTCTCAACATGCACATTGTTTTGCAGACTTGTGGATATTGTATAAACTGTACCAACACCATACCAGAAGAGGTGGACTTGTTGCTCTGCCAGGCCACCCATATCTTTGCTTGCACACATCATACACTGTACCATCAGCCTCAAATTTGTCACAGATACGTGTAGTTGTTACTCATGTTGGAGGTTCCATTGCAAATTCACGCTGCCACTGTCTTTTTATTTCATGCACATTTTCAGATTTCCAGCAGCACTTCAGAATTATCTTGCGCTGCTCGACCAACAACCGTTCCACCTACGTTTTCTTTGGTTGTCCAATTATTCAATAAGGTGGCTGTGGCACTCATATGACTAGCACCATCTTTTGAGAGAATATCACACTACACACCATACATTACATTTTGGTTCAACATTGTAAATGTCCATAGATAACCTATGTTAAAGGGTGTATACGTTTTTTGCGCCTCTCTGTATTTGGCTATGTGCAAAAAAGGGAAACTGATGTCGTAGGTACAAAGCAAGTATTTTTAGTGTCAGATGTCCATCTCAGTAAAAGTATCCAAAATCAGATCAGGGTACTATACTCCAGTAGTTGTAGATGGTTCTTACTCGGTGACGTGTGTTTGGAAACAAACACGTACAAAGAAGAATGCGCAGGCGCATTACTGCAATATTTTTTTGATATTGTTTAAAGGAAGGAGATGTATCTCATTCATATTATGTGACTGATATTTCATACTGCCAAAACTTATATATCTGACACTTCTAATATATTAAAAAATCAAATGATGTCATGAAAGTTCAAATAGAGTCATGATTATATTCTGTTGTAGAAACTTAGATTATTTATTTAATTTCTTGATATTTTGAGAATGCTTGTGTTCTGTGTTTGAAGGAACTGATGTTCGTCCTACACCAGCTTTTTTTGTAATTTTTTGAACATTTATACACATATTTCTCCTGTTTGCACATCTTTTTAAATATTAATTCCAAAAAGAAAACAAATAAATAAAAACCTCTGACCTGAACCAACTGAAATGTGAGCTTCTAGTATTATCGCTATCCATTGACATTCCTCCTGGGGTGGATAATGTTATGGGAAAAGTCTCATCTGGAGTTCCCCATCCCTCCTAAGTACATATGTTTAGTCTCTGTTCACATTTTCCTACTCTCTTTTGTGTATCTTCTCTCAATCGGTCTCTCAGCCTTGTCCTTGGTTCCTCAGTGGTTATCTGCTCCATTTTTTATCCATTCTAAGGAATCATATATCCATGCTATCCCCATATCACTGTACCATTAAATTGTATAAATGCATTATAGCATTTCTACTTTCACATCATGGCTATATACAATGTTTGAATTCTGCCTGAACTTGTATTTCTTTTTTACTATAGAAGAACTTATTTTTTACAGACTACACATGCCCGCGCACACACATGTATATATGTGTGCATAGTGCCTGTCCGTGTTTCTGCTCTAGTGTTAAATTAGGCAGATAAGGTTTTTAAAATACCACTGGTTTAATGTCTGGGGGAATCTTAGTTCTCAGGCTAACTCAAATAGTAGTAAAATATCTTAATTTTGTCAGTCCCGCATGTAATTCTTCTTGGACTTTGCCACATGATGGATTTATTGAGGCCTGTTGTCATTTACATATACAGTAAAACTTGGTTATAGCAACATTGGTTTCTGCGACACCTTGTCTATTGCGTCAAATATTCAATGGTACGAACTAATTCCTCATAAAGCAACTGTTTTTATACCTTGCTT